CGGCGGTGATCCCAAGGTTCCCCATTAAAGGGGTCTTGAAGGGAGGCATTGGCCATACACCAAGAGGTTGTCATTGCTCTCCCCTGCGAAGGCAGCAAAATGGGGGGCGGGCTCTCTGCTTGAACATATGTTCTCTAGAGCCAGCCCAATCCCCCACACATTCTGGATAACCCTGATGTCCCCGAGATCCCCAGCTGGAGACTGGGAAGGATAAACACCCAATGCCTGAGCCAAGGTCTCCCTATATCTGAAACTTAATAAAGTTGTGGCCAATTTTAATCCCACAGCACGTTGTCTTGAGTCATTGTTCCACTCAGGAGCCACCTGGGGTTGGGGGGACTCTGCCTGTCCACGCAATGACCTACTGCTCTTTTTAATTTCTCGACTGTTCACACTGAGTAGACTTAACATAAAGGACAAACAGAATTGGGCCTTTCTTAAATAAATTTTAAAGAGAAGTAATATTCTATCATTTGCAATATCTGTCATATGAACATTGCAGGAATGGCTACTAGTGGTATGCTACTGGCTAGTGTATGATGACTATTGTGGTATGCTACTGAATACCAGTTGCTGGACACTGCAGGAGAGGAGAGTGCTGTTGTGCCTGGGCCCTGCTTATGGGTTTCCCACAGGCATCTGATTGGCCACTTTGAGAACAGGATGCTGGACGAGATGGGCCATTGGCAATGATCCAGCGGGCTCTTCTTATGTTCTTAATGGGACCCACTCTATCCTTTCTCAGAGCACATCACTGCGGCACCATAACAAGATTATTGTAAACGGTTGTGATGCGACGGTGAAATCACTGAAGACTTTTGGGAAATTACTGCAAACGGCTTCCTGTAGACTGGCTTTCATGTGATTGCAGCTGCCGCTTCGCAAATGTTTGCTTGCTTTACAAATGTATTATCCACTTCACAGTGTAAGACATAATACAAATAAGATAAAATACAAAAAGTTACAAACTCTAGAAACAATTAAGACTATTCGTACAGACTCTAAAGGCACCATCCCTGTAAATGGACAATTAATATTTCATAAATGACAGGGGTCACACCTCAGAGAAAGCCTTCTTAAGTAAAGCAGCAGGCATCTAAACATTATGATGCAGGGTGCCTTTCTAATTTCATCTGGCCATTGATTCCAGAAAGCTGTAGCTGCAATACCAAAAGCCTGATTTCTAGCACAAACTAGGTGCACCTGTGGGGCATGTGGTACTCTCAGCTGTGCCACATCTGTTGCTACATGATGCCACTCTGAAGCATCCGTTGAGACAGCGTTGGCTACCACACATTTATGCTGTTGAAAGCATGTCCTATATGTATGCTGAAAAGTTTGTTCTGCTTGAGTTGGTAACATCCCATACTTTTCTGCTTTCTCTCCTCCAACCTCAGTTAAGAGACAAAGCCTGAAAGTTCAGATCAATGCAACTGGTGATGCAGTGTGCATGAGATACATTCGACCCAGTCCAAGCACCAAACTGGAAGGCTTCATCTTGGGGTACGGCAGCAGCTTCTTCTCTAACCAGTATATTCCTCTGCCATCAGACGGGAAATCTTACATAACCGAAGTTGGTAAGCCAATGTCCAGATCTGAATCTTGGAGAGATGGTTGTGGCGTCTGAAATTGCATTTACTTGCGGTCTGGATGGGGATACCCGAGGCTTAAAACCAAAGGAAATATCGAATTTCAACAGTGGCAAACACGTCTGTATTTTCTGAATTGTTTGTTATTTTGTTCCCTTCTTTGCAATTTTCAGTTACTGACATTTTCCAGAGGCACCGAATATGTAAATGAAAGAGGCTAATTTGACACAAATGTAATTGAAATGTTGAACAGGCCATCCAAACAGATCTTTAATATAAGCACTGCATGTTAGCCAGTTACTTGTTGATTTGTAGCTAAAGCTGTGGGACTTAGCACCATAATCCTTAAGAAGTAAATCTAAGCTTTTAGATCATCATTCATTACTATTAAGTCAGCTTGCGTATTCTTTGTTTCACTGTTCAAGGATCTGTTATTTCAATATTAATTCTAATGTGGAATGAAATATCACCCTCCAAATTTTGTTGAACTGCAACTCCTATCACCATTGGCCCTGCTGGCTGAGGTTGCTGGGAGCTGTAGTTCACATCTCCTAGCCTAGCCTGCCAGAGAGATTGATGTAGTCAGAAGTGTTGTCGCTTGTTGTTGCTGAGACTCAGATCAGTCGGTAGTGATGGCAATAGCCAATATTTGGGAGAAAGGCAGAGAATAACCTTATTTGGGGCATTTAGTACCTACAATTAACAGTATGTGAATTAGGAGAATGGGGCCCTGCACATTTGCCCTGTGCTCACCCCCAGTGCAAGTCCCTCACCAATGCCATACTTAAATACCTATTTTATTGCAAAATAGGTTGTTTTTCTTTTATCCCACTGTATGTACTTCTAACTGTATGTTATCCTGAAATGCACATTTTTATGCATTTTGGTACATTTTTGAACCAAATTTTGGAGAATTGAATATTATGAATAATAATTCTAGTCTGCTCCATGTATTAGTCTTGGGAGAAGTGAATTAGCTCAGTTCATTTAAGCCTGTGGGCAAATAAAATTCTCCCTCCCTCCATAGTTGCAACTCACAGGAACTGTGCATGTTGGCACATTGCCCTACTGCAAATATTCTTCCAAACATGTGATTAGTATTGAGGAGGGGTGTGGGCAGGCTGTAACCATGGGGACCAGGTGGGAATGGCCTTGTTCTTCTGCCTCACATAATGTTAATCGTATGGGCTGATAACCCAAATAGAGTTGTTAATCCTACTTGGTACTAGGTAAAGATAAAGGTAAAGGACCACTGACAGTTAAGTCCAGTTACGAACGACTCTGGGGTTGCAGCGATCATCTCACTTTATTGGCCGAGGGAGCTGGTGTACAGCTTCCGGGTCATGTGGCCAGCATGACTAAGCCGCTTCTGGCAAAACCAGAGCAGTGCACAGAAACACTGTTTACCTTCCTGCTTGTACTTTGACGTGCTTTCGAACTGCTGGTTTACCACTAATTTGGAATTTTGTTTACTAACATCAACATGGCTTTCAATTCTAGATGCTCTTACCTAAAGTGCTATAAATAGTGAATTTATTCATTAGAGATGTCTTTAACAAAGGCATGATCTCTGCTTCTAGATGAAAGTAGAGCTGCTTGAAGCAGCTCTTGTTCTGGTTATTTTGTTCTGGTGCCTGCTAGGACTAGTTCACACACGACATTTCTCTTACATGAAGATAATCTATGCAATGTGTGAAGTGGGGGGGGGGCAAGGAGAATTTTGTTTGGCCCACCTTTTTAAGCAAGCAGAAGTAATTTGCATATTCCCAGACTAGTTTGAATATAATCATCATTTGGATTTTACACATCTTTGAATCTGGCAATACAGTTCTTAGCCCAATAAATGTATCAAAATGTGTATTTTTAAGGTAACTTAGAAATGCATATACTGAGATAAAATAGGTATTCAAATGGAAATTTTGGTGGGGGGTGCAACAGATGTTTGAATGACCACATGCAAAACTGACGCAGTCCAGAAATAGGCTGATCTATCCTTCCCTAGTGAAGAACATACAAGTATTTATTTTGTTGCACTTAGATTTGGGGAAGGCAATTCAATCATTCATACATATGTAAAGTAACCATGTGGCAGGAAAGTCTGTGACATCGTTATTCTAGGATAACCCCAGGAAGAACAAGGACATGCGTCAAGATCATTCCTAGAAGAAAAAAACAGAACATAAATTCAGAAATGTAAGACAAGAAAACAGGAAAGTAAAATAAAGTACTGACTTAATGAGGATATTAAAATGGTTGTAAGATGGGCCAAAATAATTTGGAAGCTCCTAAAGTTTATTTTACTTAACACATGGCTTCCAAAAAGCAAATCTGTTTCTGGCTTAAAGATTCAGTTCATTTGGATAAGCTGCTTTGTGTCCATAGAAACAGGTACAGCTGAACAAAACTGATCACACCCTCTGTGAGGAAAACAGGCCTTTAATGGGAAAAATATTATTTGACCATACTGTCACACTTGTGCATGGCCAATTACAAAAGTCATTGCTGTTATTTAGTTTGCACGTTAGACGCAAGAAGAGTAAGCAAGCTAAGGAAACTCTGGTTGCTCTTATCAGTCCTCATCTCAAGAAGAGAATTGTATTCCTGCCTATCAGGAATATGGTTAAAATTGACCAAAAAGTCAGAAATATGTACTTAGAATGCCTCCTGGAATAAGGGTGGATTTGCCACTCTTCTTAAAGATGCCATTTGACTCATCACTTTTAGCTATACTATTGCAGTCCAATGCTATCATTGCCTACTCAGAAGTAAGTCCCCTTGAATTCAGTGGCACTTATATTTCCAGCTAAGAATGTATAGGATTGTAGCCTAAACTGATTAAGATATAACTTTTCAGGAACTATAATCTCTCTGTAGATAAAAGTGTTAATGTCATTGTGCTCTATTGGAGAGCTATGCTACTGGAGCTAAAGGCAAAGCCAAAGGCATCCATATTGTTAGATGTACTCAACACCATTTCGTTCAATGGATTTAAGAACAGCTGACAGTGTTGGCTTGCATTTTCCATAGTCCTTATAGGCTATCCAGTTGGCTTTAACAGAACATGTCAATTGTTTTCTCTACTAGGAATTACAAAAACGTAGAAAAACTACATATAGAGTTCAGCAGCCGACTCACATTTGCTTAAAACTATTGCTGTTAAAACAGATTCATGGAACAGTGAAAATTCAAAACAAGAGATTAAAAATAAAATTACACAAAGAGTTTGGAATGAAAAGCTGTATACTCCCTAACCTAGCCAGACACAACAAAGCACATTGATGACCTTCACAAAGTGCTTTGTTCTGCTTCAGTTATAGAGTTTGTGTGGCCATGCTTCACTAAGATTAAGTGATACACTCTGATATAATCTGGTGATGCACTGCATTTTGTTCTGAAGTTGTGTTTTAAATCAGCTGGATAGCTCAGTTGGTTAGGGCATGGTGCTGATAACGCCAAGGTTGCAGGCTCGATCCTGCATATTCCTGCATTGAGTGGTGGCAGGAGTTTGGACTAGATGATCCTCAGAGTCACTTCCAATTAAAGAGGTAAATTAATATACACTTAATATACAGTGGTACCTCGGGTTACATACGCTTCAGGTTACAGACTCCGCTAACCTAGAAATATTTCCTCAGGTTAAGAACTTTGCTTCAGGTTGAGAACAGAAATCGTGCTCTGGCAGTACGGCGGCAGCAGGAAGCCCCATTAACTAAAGTGGTGCTTCAGGTTAGAACAGTTTCAAGTTAAGAACGGACCTCCAGAACGAATTAAGTACTTAACCCGAGGTACCACTGTACTTGTTTATTTGAATATAAATACAGTGGTACATCAGGTTACAGACACTTCAGGTTACAGATTCCACTAACCCAGAAATAGTACCTCGGGTTAAGAACTTTGCTTCAGGATGAGAGCAGAAATCACGCAGCGGCAGTGGGAGTCCCCGTTAGCTAAAGTGGTACCTCAGATTAAGAACACTTTCTTGTTAAGAACGGACCTCCAGAATGAATTAAGGTCTTAACCAGAGGTACCAGTGTATTCACTTTTATGTTTCTTATTAAAAAATAGGCCTACTGAAGTCTTCCCTCATATTGCAACATGCCTGCTAAAAGCAGATTACCCTAGGCCAGGACTCAACGCTTGATGCTCTTTGAGATAAGGAAAACACATAAAAGATCACTAATCCTAAAATCAGCTGCTGGCACACATTAGAACAGCCACAAGGATGTTAATAGCTTGAATAGTTGCCTGCAAGGCTGTATCTGACAATTTTTTCACACATGGAAGAGCAGCTGGTCTGGAGATTTTGAATACCCTCTGGTGATTTGGGGCAACTTTATGTCTTTGTACTCCTGGGGTGGGCTTCCTACACACACAGTTTCTGGGAAGTGACTCCCACTGAATTTAGTTCTGAGTAAACACATTTAGCATCACATTCCATGTTTCTTAATCCTGTTTTGTATCAAAATGGTAAGATCGCTCATAATCTTCATAAAGAATGCAGATTGCTTTGCTAGCTTGCAGTTTGAAAGTGCTGCAAGGCCCTTTCTAGTAGAAATAGCTCTACCATGGTACGTTCAAATTATTTCCACAGAGAGCTAATTGTCATTGCAAAAACATCATAAGAAAGTATCATTGACAGGTGGAAGTTAGAAGAGCATAAAAGCTTCTAAAGTCTCCTGCTGTGTTTACATTTAGGACAGCAGCATGATTGAAATTGACAATAAAAGGAAAGAGCTGTGTTGATCTTTCAAATATGATTCAGTCAGAAAGAAGATGCCCAAGCTCGGATTAAAAACTACTGTTAAAAACTGAAATAACTTGAAAAATTGTGATAACCTCCAATTTTAAGACATGTCTTTAAGCCTTATTAAGCAAAATGTGCAGACTTCATGACAGTATCTGTAGCATTTTTTACATTGCACTCAAAAAAGCCATTAGACAAAGTTTGCATTTATGTGTTTGTGCACACACATACACAACAATGTTTGCTTCAATGTAACAACAGTGTAGTCTGTAGTTGTGCCATCTTTCTGCCCTTTACAGAAGTACAGTGTGAATCCACAGAGAAGTCAAATTCAACCAATTCCGTTAGGGTATACATGATTTCAGAAACCAAGTAATGACTTGCTTTTTTTTGGTTAATTATATGTTCAGTATACTGTACAGAGTGGTCCACTGTCCAAACTAGGGGTTAAGACTGCAGTCTTATAGTTATTTTCCAATCAAACTCAATAGGTTTTGTTTCCAGGAAGATATCATATAGTATTGCAGGCTGAATGACTTACCTGTTTCTTCAGTAACGATCATCACATCTCAAAAGAGATCCTGGAATTACGGAGGAGTCTTAGAGAAGAGAATGTAACAAGTTTGAGGACATCGTGAAATACTCATACGCTGTTCCCTGCCAAGTCTCAACATTTTCTAGATGGAATAGATAGTGATTAATGTCAGCTTTGGACAAAACTCAAGCAGAAATTGTGTGCTTCTTCCAAAGTTGGAAGTCAACCATTGTGAATTGCTCAGAAACTTTAGTTGATCAAAGTCTACAGAATGCTGTATTTCATACCTTTATAGTTATTGTTCTCACAAACATTTACTGACATGACCTGTGCACAGCTGAAACTCTGTGATTTCCAACTCTTAATGGTTTGATATGCATATATAATCATTGCGATTTTTGTGTATCAAAACATTTACCCCTTTAAAAAAAACAGAGAGGAAGAATTGGGTCACTGGATGAAATTATAGCTTGCATCCACCCATTCTTATGAGCAACAGTGTGTGTGCTGTTGCATGCAATAATTTATGCATAAGAAGCTCTTAAACTGGCAGGTTCTCTTATGCTGGGTTGGGGATGGAGAGGCTTCCCTAGGGAAACCTCTTTCCTTCATAGATGTCCACAGTCACTGCTAGCAGACAGGGGTGTAGGAAAGGGGGGCAGGAGGGCGGTTCGCCCCAGGTGCCATCGTGGAGGGGGGTGACAAATTAACAAGGAAGCATTACTGCCCTACTAGGGCAGTTCATTAAAAAAATTAAAAAATTAAATGCCTGCTCCAAAGGTCTTATCTTACTACACTAGGGATTATATAACTACATGTAAAATTTCATGCATATGAGTTAGTATCTTGACTCTCCTGCACAAAAATAGCTGTTTACTTGGCCATTTTCCTATGTCGTGAAGGCTGAAATTTCAACAAAGCACGTGCCTTTGCTAGACTCTTTTCAGGCACCCGCTAAAAGCATTCTTCTTTAGGCAAGCATACCTAGATGCTTAGGAAGTTGAAGTAATTTTAATCTTAATATGTTAGCTTTTGTATGTTTTAAAGTAGGAATGTTAATTTTTCTTTATTTTACTGCTGTGGTTTCTTTTGTTTTTTGTTTTGGTAAACCACTTTGCAGGTTTTTAAAAATAAATTTTATTAAATAAATAAACAATAAATATAAATAAAATAACACGAGCCAAAACACAATCCATCCTGTGGATTTAAGTATCTGTCCATTGTCGCCTACTTGTTATCAGAGGCTCAGAAGCCACATTCCTTTGAAAGAAAATATGAAATAACATAAAACCATTTTTGCAGGCCAAAAACAAAAAACAAAAAAAACATGGGGGGGGTGACAAGAAATTTTCTGCACCGGGTACGGGGTACGACCTGACCTTCCTACGCCTCTGCTAGCAGAGAATTTGCACCTGAGCTTAGCTGACATGCTTTCTCCTCAACAACATGCAAGCATTGCCCTTAGATAATACTAATATTATCACTAATACTACTACTAATAATAATACTAATAATGCTCACTGGAAGGACCAGATCGTGAAGCTGAGGCTCCAATACTTTGGCCACCTCATGAGAAGAGAAGACTCCCTGGAAAGACCCTGATGCTGGGAAAGATGGAGGGCACAAGGAGAAGGGGGCAGAGGACGAGATGGTTGGATAGTGTTCTTGAAGCTACAAACATGAGTCTGACCAAACTGTGGGAGGCAGTGGAAGACAGGAGTGCCTGGCGTGCTCTGGTCCATGGGGTCACGAAGAGTCGGACACGACTAAACAACTAAACAACAACAGCAATACTAATATTGCCCACTTATCTCTCTGCTGCTGTTCCATAAAGTGCACTAAGGACAGATACTGAACAAAATGTGCAAATAGTAGAGTTCCTGCAAAAAGGTTTACAGCATAATAAAAACAAGACTCGGAGAATAATAATAATAATAATAATAGACCCAGATGAAGTGATATAATTTAGAGATGGTGAAGATTAGTTACAAGGATGGAAGCTGGGTTGTTTAGAAAATTAGCTTGTAATCTTCTAGAATAGTTCAAGAAGGAACTGCAAGGAAAAATGTTGAAATGCAGCTTGTAATAATTTCAAAAGGACAAAGAGCTGCAGCCCTGTGAATGTAACAAAGGAAAGAGTTTAAAAGACTCCAAGAAGCACAAGAAAAGAGTGAACATGAATCAAAGTGAATTATAGGACTGGGACAAACGTCACTGACAGACGGAAGGGAATAGGTAGAATAATGATGAGAAATTAGGATAGACGGAGAAGAACCACCATATAAGTATTAAAAGATAAAGGGGAAGATATATTGAAAATGAAAAGGAGCATGAAAACAATGAAGAAAGCAGCAATTGATGTTAGCAACAGATCAGAGAACAGAAATTAAAGGTTTGAGTTGTGAAACATGAAGCCAGTGTAAATAATTATATATTACTAATGAAAGCCTTGGATAATGGTTTTACATTCCGGTTTTGTCCTGTAAGACCTGTGGGAATAGGGCAGTATATAAATTCAATAAATAATAATGATGTTGATGATTTATTGGTTCTGATGGAGACAAAAGGATGAATTGAGGTTATCAAAGGAGAAGGAATCAATTAGTTTTAGCAGGTAGCATTTATTACCGTAATCTAGGAGACGGAGAAGGGAGAAGAATGTGGCACCTCACAGTGCCAACAATCTTCTTTCTGCCACCTAAACAGATGCCCATAATCTGTACTGGAGGGCAAGGGTCATCTGGGAAAGGCCCCTCCCTACCAGTAGAAGGAAAAGAGGGAAACTGGGTTAGCCCTGAGCTTCCCAAGAACAGTAGGGCAAAAAGCGTCTCCCTTCCTCATTCTGCAAGAAAGGAAGAAAGAGAATTAGAATTCAGCTCCAGTCCTACATGAGAGCAAACTGGACCTGCTTGCTAAGTCTCTGCCCACATCTGTGATTTTTCACAGATTGCATTTTTCTAAAATATTAATCAATGAATAGATACCAGTTTAAAACTTTCTTTTATTGAAAATTAATGTTTTGTTTTGTTTTTTAAAATCTCTTTGAGGTTTTGTTACAATCAAGTCTTTTAAAATTCAGTAGTCATAGAATCATAGTATTCTTTATATTCAATTTTTAAAAGCCTGATTAAAATGTTTACACCTTGAAGGATTTGGTTAGCCCAAATAATTTTGAATTTGCACAACTAAATATTTAAAAAGGCCAGAAAGATCCTT